TTCTAATAAATTACAAGATTGATTTTTCGTGATTCATGTTAATAATAACTTGGTCAAGATAAATATATATTTATTAATATTCATAATACTTTCATTGATATTCATTATAATAAATTACAAGATTGATTTTCATGATCCATTTTGATAATATTTTGGTCAAGATAAATATTACACCATATTTTAAGTTCTAACCATAATATTAATTTTTTTTCACAAATATTCACTTTTTATCCAAAAATATTTATGAAAAATCGTAACAGGTTAGGTAGAATTTTTTTTCCAAGTAATCAGACAAAATCAAGTTGGTGAATTAATCTTTGCCAATATATTTTTTTCTTAAGATTTATTTTTTTAAATATAAAAAATAAATTGTTCTTCAAATTAATATAATTTACCATTTAAGAGATAATGACCAGATACATTAAATAGGTTACTAATGGTAAAAAATTAAAATTGAAATATATTAACTATTTTTTAGAATTTATTTGTATATTATTGGCACCATGATTTTTTTTTTCATTTTTTTATTTTGATTTATTTCTATAGTTAAATTCTTGTAAAATATATTTTCATTGCAGAGTATGTTAAATAAACTATAAATCCTTATAATACGAATTAGAAAAATCTTGATCATAAAAGGGATTGAGTTTTTGGCATTTTCTAAATCAAAGTTGTTTACATAGTATACAAAATTAAATTCTAAAACAACATGTGTATATTTTGTAAAATATTTATATACTAATTATTTTTAAATTTATTTACATATTTTAAATTGATTACATAAATAAATAATACTAACGTGCATTAAATATTTTTTATTACATAAAATAAAAGGAAAAAGAAGACGTACAACTTCTATAACTTTATAAATAATAATGACATTATATGACAATAAAGTTTATAATAAATATTAATTAAGTATTATATGGTGAACAAGAATAAGTAAAATTGTTATTCTCTCTTATATCAAGGAATAAATATATATACTAAAATCAAATTTATATTAGTATAAATGTGTTAGTGAGATAATATATTAATTATTTTACAAGCTACCCTAATATGCTCATATTTAATGTTTTTTACTAAAAAAACAACACTGATTAAAAGAGGTGCAAAATAGATCGTAATTTTATTATTTAATACACTTAATGTTGATTAAAAGAGGTGAAAAATAAATAATAACCCTATTGCTTTATATACTTAAACGGACAAAGCCTGTGAAAATAACTCATTTAATATTTATGTCCCGTGCATTGCACAGGGTACGAACTAGTAGTAATGAATAAAGAATTCAACATCAGTTAGCTATGAAGCCAACAGTTGGCTTCATAGCAAAACTGAATTCCGCATTGACCGATAGATTTTCTCTTTTGTATTTCACCTGCGGAATCATAATTTGATAAAATATAAAATGATAAAAGTTATAAAGTGAATTTCAAACAAAGTTTTATCAAATTATTGTAATTTATTTAACTTGAGTTGCCCTATTTAATATGTTTATTGTGATTTATTTGTTTATCATATTTGTTATATGATACAAATTATTTTTTTAAATTTTATTTTATACATAATTATTTATTTAACATCTCATTATTGCAAGAAAATTAATACAAAATATGAAACATTATATATTATTTATTTATATAGAATGAGTGTCCCCAACCAAACTAAACATCTAACACATGATATAAGATAAAATTAATTATATGAATCATCATGCTTTTTAAAAAAAATATATATATTTAATAAATTTGAGATATTTAAGATTCATATTAAAATTTGTAATTTGGATATGAGATGAAAAAAGACGAACATAGTTTGAAAAGTTTAAAGTCGTATTATTTTTTAATTTGAACCGACGACATAATATGCAATTATTATATACTATAACTTATATGATAGTTAGATAAATACGAAAATGAATCAAACGGTATAAAAGTGTACGAAGAAGTTGATACTCTAATGTATTAATAAATAATATTTATAAATTAAAAATGGGGTCAATATGTAATAATATATGTTTTCTTGAAAATATTTTATGAAAATTAACTTTTTGAAAAATATCGTAAAACATGTCTATATAAAATATTAACAACATCTAAAATGTTACATAACATGTGTAAAAATATGTAAATTGATATATAACATGTGTAAAATATCTAAAATGTTCTATATTATTCCTAAATTGCCTACGTACCTTCCTAGCTTGGACAGGATATTAACAACATCTAAAATGTTATATAACATGTGTAAAAATATGTAATTAATATATATATCATGTGTAAAATATCTAAAATGTTCTATATTATTCCTAAAAAAATTATGTGAAATCACCTAAATTTTTCTAAACTATTATTATAAAAAACATATCTAATAAATTATTAATCATTATCCCACATTGATTTATGATGTTTGATATTTTAAAATTATTCAATTTATTTGAGTACGTGATGTGACTTTATTATCTCTATTATCTCTTTAACTTAGAGAGTTTAAATCTTATAAATCAAAATTCTTCTATTAAATTTGTGAAAACTGATATTTTAATACTTCATATGTTGCCAAAATCCTTCTCTTAACATTTTTAAAGATACAATTTATATGATATTTTAATGGGACTTTTTATATTTCTTAGGACTCTGTCTTTTTTTTTTTAAATTAAAAAAAAAAGAAAGTAAAACCAAGATAAGATAAAGTTGGTACATATACAACTACATAAAATAAAATAAAATTGGTATACATAAAACTATACATTAATTTTGTTGAATGATGAGATTTTATATTCAAATAAATCATATATTGATTTTATATTCAAAAAATTAAATATCATTTTATATTCAAAATTAAATATCATCAAATTAGTTGTGTGACATTGATTTTATATTCAATTTAAATCTCATTAAATTGTAAATATTTTGTGTGATTTCGTCCTATCGATTTTTTTTTTCTAATATTAATTTGTATAATATTTACTCTTAATATCTTTTTACTCTCATTCATTTAAGAATAAATGCCATTTAAGTTTATAATCTTTGTGGGTCGTTAAATGTCGTTTTAGATTTATTTATTCATTTACTTTTTTTATCCTTATCACAAATCCTAAAAAATTCATATTTGGCTCTCATTGAAAAAAACTCGTGCAAAAGAAAAAAGAAAAGTGATATAACAATAGTACAATACTGATAACTTCCACGCAAGGAGAGAAAGTAAGAGTATATATATAAAATAACAATTTCCGTTAAATTTGTAATTTTTTTTTTTTAAAAAACTAAACTGACACATTATCAAAAAACAGAGGGAGTATGATATATTTCCTTTTTAATATTTATATGAACTAATTGTTCATTTGATGTGTACATAAAAATAACTACCAAGAATCTAAATAATATGAGATTATTTCTAAACTTTTACAAAGATTTTGTAGTTAGATAAACATGAACAAACAAACCATCAATTCAGTAGAAAAATTCGAAATAAAAAAAATATCTGAAATTAACATTCTTTATTAAATAAATACGATTTTTTAGTTGTGACCATAAAATATGAGATTTTGTAGATAAATAAATATGGATAAAATAATATTTAACTATCAAGTGGGCATGACTTTTTGGAAAGATTACAAAAAAATTCAAATGTTTTATTTGTTAAATGATTGACCGAATTTTTGTAACTAAATTTACACATTTGATTGAAAAAATTTAAGGAAATGATTGAGATTTTTGGAAGCAAGATTTTCAAGATTCTTTCTCATTATTGACAAGATTTACCCGTAGCATTTAAGAAAATCATTGCCCATATTATTAGGAATTAAGGTTTACACAATATCTTTCTCAAATAAAAAATTTTTCCCTATATTTTTAGGAATTAAGGTTTACACAATATCTTTCTGAAATAACAATTTTTTTAACTTGAATTTGAATTTTTATTCAGCCGCCATTTTTCAAAAAAAAATTAAAAATACTAAGAATAGTAAGTTTGAAAATTTTAAGCGCGAATTCCAATACTATTTCAAGTAATCCCTCTCTATATTATAGGGTAATAGATAACATTTTTTCTAACTGAAAATACGGAAAATGTATTTTTTTGCCTTTTAACAATTTGTATTTCAATATTTATAGGAGAATTATTGACATATAGCTAAATTATACATTTTTCAATATATTACAAGAATAATAATGGGTATAACTTGCAAAGTTGTTAAATATGAGTGTAATATTAAAATGGTATAAAAGTTAATGCAAAATGTATTATTCTGAGAATATTCCTTTAAAATTGCAAATAAGATTTCTATTGAAGAAAAATTTACATTTGATTTCACAATTATTGCTTGTCTTTTTCAAAATTTTTATTGACCTTTTCAATTAGAATGGATATAGCAATTTTTTTATTTTTATTTTTGCGAAATCTTACCACGATAAGTTATTACAATTTTTTTTCTTTGATTGACTAAATTATTATTTGCATGCAAAATTATAATTATTAATTTTTATGACAATATGATAAGTAATGTATTAGATGCTTCTCATGTGATTGACTAAATTTTTATTTGCTATTAAAATTATAATTATTTTTTTTGATGATAATACGATAAGTAATATATTATATGCTTCTCATTTATACTTTCAGCATGTTATTATTCTGTTTAACAGTTGGCATAAACTCCATTAAAAATTTGAAGGTATTTGAAATTTTGATATAATACCAATTCTAAGAATCTTTTCTAGTAAATGGAATTGATTAAGTCTAATTGTAAAAAACTTCCTCCTAATTTTAACTTTTTATGTTTAAAAGGTACCCTACCCTGCCTTGTAGTGGAGTAGTTAGCATAGTGTAAATCAAATCAACATCTGTAACTTAACAAATGCAATCAGATTCCTCAAATCATCCCGAAATCAAGGAAAGTAATATTTACACTCTATCTTAATTAAAGTAAAAAAAAAAAATACTGAAAATCTGAAATGAATTTCAAAAATTGAAAAACTAAAGTGAAAAAAAAAATAAAATAAAAAAAAAAATGCAAGATCCCTTTTTCTCCGTGTGCGTATGATTGGCGATTTGTTTTCCCTCTTTACCCCCATAAACCTTATAGTCTGCACTAATTGGTACCTAATATTAATGTACATTACAACATACTCAAAAACACACACATTATTGAAGATGTCACTTTACATAAGAAAAATTTTGCAATGATTACCCAAATATAAGCTCCTTCTCATCATTTTTCATTCCCCTTTCCAACATGGCTAAATCCATCATCAACCTCACGAAATCATAAAATCCCAANCGTGCCACACAAGTCCTTGCTGTAAAATTCCTACTCGTAGTACAAAATTTGCACTCCTGCAAACAAATCAGTGAAGAAGAAAGAGAGAGAGAGAAAAAAAAAGAAGAAAAAACACCCATCATCATATCTCTCATGGATACTTATGAGGCTACTAAGGTAGTGATGTCAAGAATCCAGACTTTGGATCCAGAAAATGCTTCCAAAATCATGGGCTACATACTGCTACAAGACCAAGGCGAGAAGGAGATGATTAGGCTCGCCTTCGGGCCCGAAGCCCTGTTGCAGTCCTACATCACCCGGGCCAAGGCCTGTTTGGGTATCCCTTCTGCCAACCCTCCCTCCAACCCCTCCACCCCACACTCAAACTCCGCGCGGCCAAACAACCCCTTCCCCCAGAACTCGCCGAGGGTCGTCATACCCACCAACGGATTCCATCTGGGCTGCGGAGGCGGTACCGGCAGCAACCCGTCCTCTCCCGCCGCCGCCGCTTTCCAGAGAGCGAGCCCCAGGCCGTTCTCCTATGCAGCCGCCCTCAATAACGGCGCTAGCAACGGTGTTAGCAGCGGCAGCAGCAGTAATAGCAGCGGTAACGGTGGTTTGGGTAGTGAATACGGCAACTTGACATTTCTGGACGACCCTTTGGCGGATCCGGTTATGAGCCCCAGCGGGAGGAGCGATTCGCTGGTTTTCCCTTACGGTGAGGACGCCCACTCCCCGCACCCGCACCCATTTCACCGGAGGAGCTGCTCGGTGAACGACGCCGCGTTTCTGGCAAATCTCGAGGAAGGGGGCGGCGCCGGCGGTGGGTGGAGGCCCTGCATGTATTTCGCTAGGGGTTTCTGCAAAAATGGTGGGCTGTGTAAATTCTCGCACGGAGAATTTGGGGAAGGGGCTGAGGTGGGGTCCCCGAGCAAGGGCTTCCCTGGGTTGGACGAGCTCTTGAGGATAAAAGCCCTCCAGCAGCAGAGGTTCGCCGCCATGGCCGCCGCAAGAGGTCACCATCCTCTTGGGTACAGCAAGTGCATGGACTTGATGAATGAGAATCCGAGGTGAATTTTATATTTTATTTTTCGGGAATTAATGAATTGTTGCCATTTTTTCTCAACCTTTTTTTCAAAGGTGAACTGTTTCTACTGAACTTACTTNTTGGAAAAAGGAATTTTTCCTGCTATGTGCTGTCTTGATTTGCTTGTTTCTTTTTTGGCGATGGGCATGTGCTAGCTTATCTATTATCTTTAATTCTGTTTTTGCCCTTTTTTCTGCCTTTTTATCCTTTTTCTAGTTAAGGATTATAAGTCCTCTCATCTATTCTGGTGGTAGTAATTTTGTTCATTTCCACTTGTATTATCTAATTGATTTTTGCTATGAGGTTGGTTAGATCTTGGTGTGGTTCAACTCTGAAAAGAATGTATCTTTAGCGAATTTTAACAATTTTGGTTGGATTTACTTATTTAGATTTTCAATTATGATGTATATGTATATTGTGTAGGTCTGGTTGGAAGAAGTCTTATGTGATAATTTAGTGAGAACGTAGTGTGTTGTTAGATTGCATGTGATAAATTTATGATGAATGATAAATAACATAAATTCTAATAACTGCAGATTTGATAGAAATGAGTTCTTTCAAATGTTGGCTGGTGGTGCAAATTCGAGCTCCCGGCAAATTTACTTGACATTTCCAGCTGACAGCACATTCAAGGAAGAAGATGTTTCTAATTACTTCAGGTAGGATTAATATATTCATTCAGAAGTTTGTTCCAACCTTCATTTTGAAGATTGAAACTCTGTTGGCACTGATAGTTGCTAAC